GCCCAGGGCTTCATGGAATCTATCCTTCTTATTGCCTGGAGTGTCCTTCATCTTTTCTTCACCTAGGAGCATCCATACCTCCTTCAAGGCCAGCCAAGTGTCACTTCTTGTGTGAGATCTTCGCTGACTCTGTTGGGGATTAGAGTCCACCTAACACCTTGTTTTATGTTTGTCTCTCCCACCAACATCTAAAGTCCCCTAGGGACTGTAACTTATTTATTTTTCCATCACAATACCCAGGGCAGTACCAGGCACCTAGTAGGACAGTGGCATGGATATTTGGATAGATGAACTCTTGGTTTTCCTCCTAGAGTGCTGGCTCTTGCTTATTTTGGTTCACTCAAGGTTTTTTAATTTTTAAATTCTTTTTAGTTATATGTGGCATATCATACATATATGGAGGGTAACGTCCCATTTTTGTGGTAGAGTTTTGTATTTTACAGCATTGGTAGGGTAGAAGGAGCAAAACATTTTTGAAGCACAATTAAATAAGTATTGTCAGTCAGCCTGGCCCCTCTTTAGCAGCCACTGAGCATCTGTCTACGAGGTGTCAGTCATTGTCCTGGGAGCTGTCACTTGTTGAATGCTTACTTACTCCAGGGACTATTTTAAGTTTTAAATTTGCTCATTTAAGGGTCACAACAATCCTGTGAGGTGGTTTCTCTTCTCTCTCCTTTCAGGTAGATAGGCTTTTTGTATTCCTTAGAGGAGGCTGCTGTGCTTTGGGTTTAGCCACCAGAGAAGCTGCTGAGCATGGCTTCCTGCCTGAGGCCCCGTGCTTTCCCCGGGGCAGGTGCGCGGCCAGCCCTTGGGAGGGAGGTTCCGCTTCTGCCTCTCAAACACCAGGGGGCGCGAGCCACCCAGCTTTCTGAAGGAGGGCGGGGCTGCCAGCCGGGAGGAGCCGCCGGGCACCGAGGACGCGGGACTGGTTCAGAACCCAGCGTCTCCAATCCAGAGAGGCAACCTCCCCAGCCCGCCTCTGCCTCGGAGTCAGAGTCCAGGGAGAGGTAATCACCAAGGGCTTACTGTCTGTGGGGCACAAAACCCCCGGGGAGCGGCTCTGTACTATCTTTATGTGACTGATAACCAAGAAGGAGGCTTGCTGACTTGCCCAGAGTTGGACAGAACTACAAGGCTTTCGTTCTTCAGGGTTTTTTTTTCGTTTGTTCAAACTCCGTTTTCATCCCTTGCTGTACAGAGTGTAGGTATACCCTGTGAGCCTACCCAAGATCCTTCCCGCTTCTGTTTTTTAAAATCAGGTGCTTCTTGAGCTGAGAGAGCTACTTAGTGTCTAGCATGTCCAAGGCCCAGAGTTCAATCAGGTTTCTTGAATCTCTAGGACCATGGATTTCCCTGCCCTACAGACCCTCTCAGCCACTTGGCACCCCATCACCTATTTGGATACCTGCTGTGTCCTGCCCAGCACTATGCTTGAGATGCCACCTTTATGAGACCTCTTCCACCCTTAGAGTGTAAATTCCAACCCTTAGCATGACTCTTGACACCGGGCCAGCACTTAATAACCATATATGCTGAATAAATGAGGGCTGGGCACAGCGCATCTGCAGCTCAGGGCTGCAGAGATGGCAGCAACAAATACCCTTGGATATGTGATTGGGGACTTAATAGCTTAACGTTTCTATTTTGTTCTCTGTCCTGTTTGTAGCTAGCTGGATTGCCAACTCTCAGAAGGCAAGGATGAGAAATGTGGGTGTATGTGTGGGGAGTGCTGGGGGAAAGAGAGAGGAGGCACAGGGCAGGGAGCAGAGCTTTCCCATGGCAAGAATAAGGCCCACATAGAGTGAGGGATTCAAAGATGCCAAGATCTGAGTTAGAGCAGAAGGAAAATGAGCCCTGAATGGGAGCCTTGTGTGTGGCCCTGTGGCGCTGACTCACCACAACTCAGGAGAGGGAAAACACGCAAGGGATGAAGAAGGGCCTGTGTGTGCTTTGTCACCACCCCCAATCCCTTTGGGTTAGGGGCCTCCTGAGGACACCCATCTGCTCTGAGGCACCGTCCTAGAAGGCTTTGATCTGGGTTAGGTGGGTAGGGAGGAAGGAGAGTGCACACTAAGTTGGAGGGAGATATGGAAGTTTTGAGAATTCACAAGGCCATCCCTGGGAGAGCTGTGGGCTTGAGTTCAGGTGGAGGACGAGGCGGCACCTCTCCTCAAGCACACAGCAGCCCCTCCACTGGCAGGCGTGGCTGGCCAGACATTCAGGAGCAGGGAGGGGTAGATGCCAGAGCTCCTGTGACTTCTCAGCTACACCTGAGGAGCCAGGCATGCCTATGAGTAAGTTCTTCCCAGAGCTGATGCCAGACAGAGGCACAGCCTGGGAGCTGAGCTCCACCATCCTCTCCACTCCCACCCTCACTCCAGCTGTCAAACCTGTTCAGAGAACAGGACAGGATTTTTGTGGCAACAAGTGTGGCAGGCAGCCAGAAGCCTGAGCAGAGGGCAAGGGCTGGAATATGTGGCAGCCCAGGTGAATAAGATCAAAGGCAGACATTGTGGATGGAGTTGAGGAAGGAGTGCCTGAGGAAGCAGCCAGGGCCGGGCTAGGATATTGCTGGTCCCAGGCCAGCCTAGGAGGAGCTGAGGCCGACCCAGGGAGCCAGACTGGGCTCTACCATGAACTAGACCTGTAACCTTGGGAAAGTCACCTAGCCTTTTTAGGGCTCATTCTCATCTTATTAATATAAGGGAGCTAGAATTAAGGGATTCTAGGCTTCCTGTAGCTCTCGTATTTGATGACTCCATGTGTAGGCAAATCAGCCTTAACTTTCTCCTCATAAAACCCAGTCCCTTCAGTATCCTGTTTCTAGCCGAAGGTTTCAAATGTAAGCTAATAAATTAGGGGATTCATATTTAGGTCTATGACTGATGATAAATTACTCTTCTTTTAAAAAAAACAACTTAGTTGTAGATGTTCACAATACCTTTGTTTTTTTTTTTTTTAATGTGGTGCTGGGGATCGAACCCAGTGCCTCACACATGCTAGGCAAGTGCTCTACCACTGAGCCACAATCCCAGCCCCGATATAATATTCTAAACTCCCCAAATGTATTAGTTGGTTTGTTCCAGGGCTTTGTGCATCCTAAGTTTTATCAGCAAGCACATACCAGTGTGGCCAGTAAAAAGAATGTGGCTTTGAAAGCCAAATGTACAAGGGTTTGAATCCTAGCTTTGACTAAATCTCAGCCCTGCTCTGTTGTAGGACCTTGGGCAATTTATTGTGTCAGGATGATATATTCTTTGTCAAGTAGGGATGATGTACTGTCCTCTCCCCCCACCCCCACTGGGGATTGAGCCCAGGGCTTGTGCATGTTAGGCAAGCACTTTACCACTGAACTACAGTCCCCACCCTGACCTCTTTTAGTAGCTGTGTAGATTAAATGAAGTAACATGCAAAATAATTTATGAAGAACATGGGCCCATATAAATATTCAGAAAATGTGCCCTCCCTCTTTTAGAAGACTTAATTGTAAGCAAAAGGAAGCGTAGACTCTGGGATGGAGATTAGATGGCAGGAGGCTTCTTGGACCCATGGGATCCACACCTAGGGAGCAGAAGGGAAAAGGGGGCAGGATGTGAAAGATTTGAGCTGCAAGTCCCAATAAAGGTCTGAGCCAACCCTGCAAGGGGTATTAAAGCTGGGATGACCCTTCAGAGTTTCCCATCTAGGACAAGGAGGCCAATATAAACTTCATACCTGTTAGTCTTTGTATATAAGCTGCACGTGGAAGGAGACATAACTTGGTCAAACTGACTTTTTTTTTTTTTTTTTTCCCAGTTAAGGCAGCTTCTCTAAGGTGCTATAGCTGAGGGCCATTTACTGTCAAGCATTCCCTGTTCCTAGGGAACTATATCCTTCATTGAGTTAGTGGGAGTTTTTTCTTTTTGATGGTGCTAGGGATTGAACCCAGAACTATGAGCATGCTAGGCAAGTGCTCTACCCCTAAGGTACTTTATTTTTACACACACACACACACACACACACACACACACACACACATATATATATATATATATATATATATATATATATATCTTTTTTTTTAGTTGTAGGTGGACACAATACCTTTATTTATTTTTATGTGGTGCTGAGGATCAAACCCAGTGCCTCACGCATGCCAGGCGAGTGCTCTACCATTAAGCTCCAGTCCCAGCCCTATTTTTACTTTTTAAAATAAAAGACAGGGTCTTGCTAAATTGCCCAAGCTGGCCTTGACATTGTAATCCCAGAGTGGCTGGGATAGGTATGTGCTACCATGCCCGGTTGGTGAGCAGGATTCTTGTCAGATTAAGTAGATGACTCTCCAGGCTAAGGCCTATCTAGTTTTGACACTTCCCAGTAGTTTCTTAGTGCCATTTCGCAGTGTGGACAGAGCCATGTGATTATTCCCTGTCTCCAGTCTCCCTGTAATAAAGACACTGAGGCCTTGGAAGAGCAAAAGCTGCTTTCACATCCCTCCAAAGAAATAACTCACTTGCCAGTGTACCAGGACTCATTTCTTTTTTTTTTTTTGGGGTGGGGGGTACCAAGGATTGAACTCAGGGGCACTCGACCACTGAGCCCACTTCTCCAGCCTTATTCTGTATTTAAAAAAAATTTTTTTTGTAGTTGTAGATGGACAGCATGCCTTTATTTTTTTATGTGGTACTGATGATCAAACCCAGTGCCTCACACATGCTAGGCAAGTGCTCTGCCCCTGAGCAACAGCTCCTGCCCCTATTCTGTATTGTATTTAGAGACAGGGTGTCACTGAGTTGCTTAGTGCCTAGTTTTTGCTGAGGCTGGTTTTGAATTCGAGATCCTCCTGTCTCAGCCTCCAGAGCTGCTGGGATTACAGGACTTATTTGTTTTTAAAAATTTCATTTCTCTCAGTGGCTAATCAAGAGGTAGAGAGTGTGAAGAAGGGCAGTAGGGGACATATATGGGTTATGTACCATTTTGCCATCAAGAATCTTTCACAGCCTACCTTTGCATGTTCCTAGGTCATTCCTACAAGTTACCAGAAAATGTTCTGCAGAGTGTTGTGGCTTCTTACAGCAGACCCATCCTTGAGAAAAGAATCTTTAGTGACTGTCATTCTCCCTCAAATCAGACTCAGCTTGTGGGGACTTCTTGTGCCTCTACCTCTGACCTCATCTTCAAATCAAGGCAAGCCAAGTGAATCAAACAAGGAGATACTGCAGAACCCTAGGCAAACAATGCTTTGATGAGAGAAGACTCATCTTCTCTTATTTTTTTCTTCCACCACCTATGAGCTCCCACAGTGTTCTTGCGAGGATCACCTTCAAAAACTATATGGCTTTTAAAGCTCACGAGCATTGTTCTATCAAACTGTTTTCCATGGAATCATCTAACTTTTTGTTAGTGTTTTGCTCTCAACTAAATTTAGAGTACCCTGAAGGTAGGGAACATGTTTATACTTGTGTCTTTCTAAATAGTTACATTGGTTTCTGGCTTATCTTAAGATACTCAAACACTGGTTGTTTGATGGGAATAAATAATTAATAAGATCTCTTTCTCTCTCTCTCTTTTTTTGTGCTTTACCACCAAATTACACCTCTTTTGTTTTAAAGATAAGATCTTGTTAAGTTGCTGAGGGTCTCACTAAATTGCTGAAGCTGGCCTTGAACTTGTGATCCTCCTGAGCCACTAGGATTATAGGCATTGCACCATAGGCTAGGGTATTTTTAGTAAACATTTTTAACAACTTTATTTTTCTTGTATATATGCCACCCTATGACTTTTAGAAATAAATGAATAGGGGCTGGGGATGTGGCTCAAGTGGAAATGCGCTCACCTGGCATGCGTGCGGCCCGGGTTTGATCCTCAGCACCACATACAAAGATGTTGTGTCCGCCGAAAACTAAAAAAATAAATATTAAAAATTCTCTCTCTCTCCTCTCTCTTAAAAAAAATGAGACAATAGAGGCAAAAGAATTAAAAAAGAAATAAATGAATAAATAAATGCAGTAGTGTTTTAGTAGTTAAGATTTTAACATACATTCAAGAATATAGAACAGAGCTGGGTGTGGTGGCCCATGCCTGTAACCCCAGCAACTTGGGAGGTTGAGGAAGAAAGACTGCAAGTTCAAGGCCAGGCTCAGCAGATTAGGGAGACCCTGTTTCAAAAACAGCTGAGAAAAGCCAGGAGCACTGGCATATGCCTGTAATCCCAGAGGCTAGGGAGGCTGAGACAGGAGGATCATGAGTTCAAAGTCAGCCTTAGTAACTTAGTGAGGCCCTAAGCAACTTAGTGAGTTCCTGTCTCAAAATCAAATATAAAAAAGGGCTGGGGATGTGGTTCAGTGGTTAAGCACCCCCTATGTTCAATTCCTGGTATGTTCCCCCACCCCCAGCAAAAAAACAAACCAAAACAACAACAACAACAACAAAAAAACAATTAAAAAAAAACGAGCTGAGAGTTTAGTTCAATCCCCAGTACCCACTGGTAGCCATCTGTAGCCTGTAGATTTTTACTGATTAACTTTGCCTCATCTCTCCTCCCAACAATGGCCTTTTGGAATTAAATTGAGGACATCTCAAGAGTTTTTCATTTAGCAATAGGTTTGAAATCCTGGCTGTCACTTACTAAGGGCCCTTGAACAAATTTCTTGTTCTCAACTACTCATCAGTAAATGGGGATAATACACCTCTGAGCATCCTTGGGAGGATTATTAAGGTAACAGGTATGTGAAAACACTACCATGATGCTTGGTACACAAGCCAGCCCTCTTGATCCAAATATCATTGACATTCTGGCAAACCCATTTCAGAAGCTAAGACATCTCTTCAGGTCACAAGTGAATAACAAGTTCTGAAAGAACAAATAAGGGCTATAAAGCATTATAAAAATGTGACCCTAAAGGGCTAGGGCTATATGGCTCAGCAGTAGTGCACTTGCCTAGCATGTGTAAGGCACTGGGTTTGATTCTCAGCATTGCGTATAAATAAATAAAGGTCTATCAATAACTTAAAAAAATATATATATATATAAAATGTGACCCCAAGCCAAGCATGGTGGCACACTCCTGTAGTCCCAGCAGCTTGGGAGGCTGAGGCAGGAGGATTGGAGTTCAAAGCCAGCCTCAGCAACTCTGCGAGACTCCGTCTCTAAATAAAATACAAAATAGGGCTGGGGATGTGGCTCAGTGGTTGAGTGTCCCTGAGTTCAATCCCCGGTAACCCCCGCCCCCACCACCACCAATAAAGTGACCACAGAGCACCTCCATCAGCTGGCCCAACTCTCCATGAATCTTTTTTTTTTTTTAAGCCGAGTTCCTTGTTTATAGTCAAGCATAATGCAGTTGGGTAGAACCATTACCCCAGTCTCCTTCCTCTTTTGCTTTTACTAATGATTTGTCCATTGATAATGTGAAAAGATAGGTGGACAGGCTCTCAAATATTCTTATCTAGTTTAAATAGTAATTAAATTAAAAATCCTGTGGAACAATGCTCATTGCCTACCTCTGAATCACCATGAAAACAGGTTCTTTTTTTCTTTTTGTAGTGCCGAGGACTGGAACCTAGGGCCTTACAAATGCTTGGCAAAAAAAAAAAAAAAAATGCTTGGCAAGTGCTCTACCACTAAGCTACACCCCTAGCCCCCACATCCTATTTTGAAGCCAGCATTTCAAGACATTTGAAGTTCTTGCTGTGTGGTGGTGCATGCCTATTATTATCTCAGTGACTTGTGAAGCCAGTTGCAGCAACTTAGCAAGGGTTGGGGATGTAGTTTAGTGGAAAACTCCCTTGGGTTCAATAATCCCCAGTGTGTGTGTGTGTGTGTGTGTATGTGTGTGTGTGTGGGAAGAGTGAAAGAGTGCTGTTTTAAGGACTAAACATCAGAAGCACTCTTAATAAATTCTTTCTTCCTTTCACATATATATATATTGACAAGGCAGCATTCAGGCTGCCATGGGAAACCGGATATAGCTAGTGTTTGTTGAAATCACCATTAATTGGCTTAAATGCTGGAAACTTAAGATATGTAAACATGCACAGGGTTTGAACATCTTTTGTACATCAAAGGATTTTTCAAGTGCTCTTGTCTGGCTCTAACTTGCATTGCAAACAGTGTGGCACTAGACTAGGAAACAAGGAACGCATTAGTCATATGGGAAATAAGAGGCCAGGATAAGATCAGGCATTCTTATGCTGGAGTACATGACTCAACAATGGCTTCAAGTTTTTGGTTCCTGTGAAGCTATCAAACAAATTTTGTATACAGGCATATCTATTTTTTCTGGAAACAGAGGCTATATTTTTCTAACATTTCCTAAAGGCCCAGAGCCCCCAGGATAGTTTTAACAATTTACAGACTGGATAACTAAAATATTTTCCCGTAGTTCTATGGTTTGAAAGCAAATAAATGTCCCATTATGAGGTCTAACCTGGATGGGTCTGTCGACTTCATCTGGTTTTTCAAAGCCATCATCAAGTCCTTCCTCTACACCACCACCCCCCCCCTTCTCAAAAAATATGCCCAAATTGTGCAACATTTTTCACTTCGTATAAACAAGACTATTTTCCCCCAGACAGTATGATTCAACTTGTTTTAATGTAATCTGCTATAAAAATGAATGAAGACTTCTGCATGGTACATTTGGCTTTACAAATATGTTAAAGATTGGTTAATGCTTATATGTTGTACATCATTACAATCTGTTGACCAGTAACAGCTTTTTCAATGTGGGTTAATACCAAAATTGTGAATTGTGGAACTTTTACTTAGCACATACACACACAACCTACGGCAAACTTAAATACTAATCTATAATATCTAACTTGAATTACTGGATCCATTGCAGGATTGTGCTTATTTATCTCAGAAGATAGGCAACTAGCAAAAATACACATTTCTCTTGCATATCCCCACCCCCATATTACACTGTAAAAGAAATACATTATTCAGTGCACTTCCTAAGAAATAAACTTCCTTATAGCATCTCTATATATATCTATCCCAAAACAAAGGAAGAGCACAATGCAACTTTTAAGATTACCATTTAAAGCAAGAGAGGTAATAACTCTGGCACTGTAGCCTTCCATCCTATTTAGAAGGCTCAGCTATTTTATCAACACTGTTCATTTTGGCTATGCAATGGAATAAAGTTTAACATGATAGCTTTGGACAGTTTAAGATACCCCCTCATCATTTTGATAGATACTCTGGGGCATCAATAGCATTTTCTTCTTTTAATGTATTTGACTTAATCAAATTATTAGCTGTGGAGTCATTTGTATACTTTGTTGTGATTTATACATTAATTTTCACAATTGCCTTTCCCCTCTCAACTCAGATTAAGAAACAGAATTAAATTATAGCAGGTTAGGGGCTGCTGGAGAGGTTGGCTAGGAGAATGTATGTGAACATGAAGGCCTCTTTCTCCCTGTGGATACAAAAATCATATAACCACCATGTCTGAACTGAGAGTGGAGTCCCTGTTTGGAAGACGGGAATAGTCAGATTCTGTGGACTTGGTCAGGAGTATACTAGCCATACAGTTCCAAGTCTTGAGGCTTCTGTCTTCACTATCATGGACATGGCAGTTTCAAGAATCAAAGAGGTTGGAAATTAGCAGCTTGCAAGCTAAATCCAGTTGCAAAAGCGTTTGTTTAACCAGTGGTACTTACACCACTTTTGAGTCAGTTCTTGTTATTTAAAAATGAGAAAGTTTCTCATGAAAACTTGGATTTCATAAAAAATTGGAAGAGCTGGTAACCTGTGTCTAGCATTCTTACACAGCAGCAAGCAGCTGGAGCTGAATGGGGTGGCCCTTTTAAGTGGGGGTGGGGCACTTCAGTTTGCTACATGTTCCACAGCACCAAGCGGTTTGACATCACTTGAGGGAGTGATCACTCATTCACATGAACAGTTGAGTTCTGTGACACTGGGGTTAGTTCAGCTGTGCCTTTTTATGATGCTGAGGACAGGCTTCATCTGGAATCTCTCCGCTTCCCTGTGGATGAGATTCCTCCTTTGATTGGATCCCAGCCATATTTAATTGCTTTGGTAGGTAATCTTAATATGCAATTCTACTTGTCCTTTATGCTATATTACAAACTCCAAAGATATAATCATACTAATATTTTTATGTGTTTTTAAGTGTGTGTATGTTAAAATGTAAAGGGGTATGTATCTATACAGATATATGTATAGTTCCATCTAGGTAAAAGGTAATTTGGTTCCACAGATACAGACAAGTGCTGGCAGCTTAGAGAATAAATGAAACAATTTGGTAAATCCTGTATAGTTCTGACTTACAATATTAGAAAGAGAGTGAATTTTAAGTTATTGCTTCTTGATTACAGAATAAAGATTTCATTCTGTTGCAAAACTTTTATACAAAATGAGTAACCATTTCCTATTCAAGTAAAAGCAATCAGAAGTTCCTTACACAACAACAGTAGATGCTTGAAGACATTTCTGAATGGAGGTGTGATTTGATTTCATTCTATT